AGGTGCTACCCAGCTGGGGCGGGGCACAGGACAGAGCTAGCAGCTTATCTGGGGGGGGGGGAGAAGGGAGCTTGCGTCACTGTGCACACCTTTGGGAGAGGCATAGGGGGCATGTGCCCCCTCCCAGATCTGTGCACAAGGTGAGGGTGGGCTGCATGCTATGTGCTCAGGATTGGGGCTGCTCCAGCCTCTTCCCAGAGGCTATGCTCGGGCTGGGTGGGGTGGGGCAGGCGGCAGTGGCACTGGGAGGGGGGCTATGGCAAATTTTAGGGTGGCTCTAGCCCCCTCATAGGCCCACCTGCCAGGACTGCTGCCACCCACCCTGCCCCGCCTGGCCTGAGCGCAACTTCTGGGAAGAGGCTGGAGCATCCCTGGCCCCAAGCATACAGCAGGCAGCCCATTCTCTCCCCCTGCACAGATCCAGGGGCACATGCCCCTTATGCCTATCCCAGGGGTTTGCACAGCTGTGGGAGCCACCCCCTCACGTTCTCAGATGAGCTGCCAGCTGTATCCCATGCCCCACCCTGCTCCATCCCAGCTGGGCAGTGCCTGCCCCTGCCCTTGCCCCTAACCCAGCCCCACTCCCTCACTGCAGGGCCCTTGATCTACCCTCACCAAGCCACTTCCCTTTCCCCTCCCCAACAGATGCTGTTCTTAAAGCTACTGGGCTGCACTCCTGGCTGCATGCATGCTGCGGCTGCGTGCATGCACGTGGTATTTATCGGCGACATTATTGGCCACATCAGCCAATTGCCAATAATGTCAATTTTCTTTTTATTGGTGCCGATACAATATCTACTGATGGTATCAGTGCACCTCTAGCTGTGGAGGCTAAAGCTTTGACATGCCATTCTGACCTGCAGCCCCATCTCCTGGCCCATTGGAAGCCAAAGCTGTGAAAAGTCCTCCTGAGCTGCCAGTAAAACCCACCTTGCAAACTGAAGGCAGGTTAGCTTCTGGTATGCACTGCCATGATGGGCCACATTGGGCACTGGACAATCTAGAGACTAGTGGCCTCAATTTTATGAATGCATTGCATCACTAGCCATGCCTTAACACTGAGTGCCCTAGCAACAACTCTGGACTGCCTCTGGTATCTGTGTGGGAAAGTCACAGCCCCTCAGTTCCAGATTGGGAGGGAAGTTAGGATCCAGAATGGTTTAAAAGACTTTGAAAAACACAAGTTGCAGGACACATCCCTGCTGCATGTGACTCGAGAGCCTTTAGTGGAAGTACACCAGAGAGTAATCTAGCCAAAATAAGTTTTGTCTGACAACCCTACCCTACCCCTTTATAAAAACAATACACATGAATTGTGCAGTAGTTCAACTTCCCAGTCTCTAGCTGTCTACATGATGCAGTTCAGGCTTTGAGAGGCACTGTGTCCGTGGTGATTAGTCACAGGGGTTTCCTAAGTGATTAGTTGGCAGGTGGCCAAGGGGGAGAGAGAGAGAGAGAGACACTAGAGTGTAGGAATTGGATGACATGCTTGGATGTGGTAATTGTAAGACCCCTACATCTCCGGGCAGGTTTCTGTAGCAGCCAGGGGTGTCTACATATGCATTAATGCTCTTTTGCTACTGCGCAGTAAATTTAGTACCTCTAATGTGAGGTACTAACTACATGCCCATTAGGCTGCCCTAATGCACAGTAGCAGAAGCGCGTGCTTTTTTAGTGATACTTAATGCACAGTAGCCTAGTTTTACTGCATATTAGTATATTAGCATGCTTTTTGACATGTTGCTCTAATGTACAGTAAAGCGGGCTATTGCGCATTAAAGTGCATGTATGGATGCTCCCAGTCCGTGATACAGCTGTTGGAAAACTGCGCAACTGCAGCACCATTGCTGCCTTTGACCTCCCTATAGTGTCTGTAAGAAGGCAGTGCATGAATTTTTCCTCCCATAAAGCTGCCAGCAGCTGTTTCTGTATCTGACTCTAAAATTTATAATTTAATCCCACTTCAGTGAGCTTCTGCAGATAAAACACCAATTGAGGACTGTGGCTGCCAATGCCACATGGATGCTTAATACTCATTTACTGACTGACTTTCCAGAAGGAATGAAACATGCCCATCTTTTGTGCTGTCCTCTATTCTATAGAGATTGTCAGAAAGCAAGGCCACCCTTTCGTTTTGCCACCTTCTACACATGTGGATCCAGTTGCTCCTATGTCCACTGCCCCACCTCCTCAGTGCTAATGCTCATGGTTTGGAGGCAAAGAATGGGTGGGAGGAAGGAAGAATTATTCTTCCCTTTTATTGAAGGGGAGCTGAGACAGAGATTGAAGACCTTGCCCATGGCTGTACAGATTGTCAGAGCCGTAATTTGAACCAGATTCTCTTGAGTGCTAGTTTAGTGTCTTAATTACCCCATCATCTTTGCACATCTGGGATGGAGGTGTAACGCAAAGGACTTGCACTGGACTGAATTTCATCTTACAGGTAGGATCTTGGACCAGTGAATTAGGACACCTGTTCCTGTCCAAAACTGTAGTTAAAGTAGTGGGAGTACCCTTCATGTGAAACTGGGTACAGACTCCCCGCACTACTAGCAAAAAGCAGTGTTGGCAGACAAGACTGAAATACATGAAATAATCCTTTTTATTGCTTCCTGCCATTTACTTTGCCATTTGCATTGGGCCTTTGTTTGCTTAACTGGAGTATTTAATTGAATTGCAGTGACGTAGGGTAGGGAAAAAGCCTTGGTCACGTTTTCTCTTGGTCAAGCGTATATTGCCTGAGCTTTTGAATTAAGCAGTGATCTCACCCAGGGCTCCATGAGATCTTTTTATGGGTGCTCGTGAATCCCAAACAATGTTAGCACTTTTAGGTGTGCAAACATTTTTCATAAGATAAACCCAGGGCTTTCAAATAGGGATCCACCGTGTTAAAACCATTCTGACCTGTCGTGGTCTTTCTGAGTTCTTTGCAACAAGAGAGCTGCTTTATTACTTTTTTGCAGTCAAAAATGAGTGAAACTAAGAGCTCTATTTTCTGCCTAGGAGGATTTTTACAATCTTTGATTTCTCCTCAGCCTGACGAAGGGTGTGTGCACCCAAAAGCTTGCAAAGAAATTTTTTTTTCCATTTTTTAATTAGTCTAAAAAAAGGTATCACCTCTGAACCAAGAATTTTAGAGTTTTGTGTTTCTCTTTTTTCTCAGGCCCACGTGGCTACAAAATAGATCCCTGAAACTAAGAGCTGGCATTTTCCAAAGAGTGCTTCTAGGGTGTCTTGAGTCTAAAAAGGTTGAGAACCACTGGAATATAATTCAGGCAATCTAAAATATATTTGAATCTAATCCATTTTCCGAAATGAAAGTTTTCTGTTCTCTGTGTTTTTTCAGACACTTTTGCTCTTGGGTCTCAGTGGATGTTTAAGTTACATGTATACAGTTGGGATCAGAATTGGACTTTCTGTCTTTGTTTATTTCTTGCAAAATTGTCCTTGGGGATACTTCTTCCATGTAGGAGGGCAAGGAGAGAAACAAATTCCCCACTGCACCATCTGTTTAGTTTCTGTTGCTTTTTTCCCTGCTCATGTTCCCCCAGGTGCAGGAGAAACAAGCAGACTTATGTATATGAATTGCTTGTAGGTCACTGCCTGAGTTCTTGTTGTTTGCTAGGCCATTGAATGCATTAGAAAAGGGCTGGCGGACTCATTTGTGCGCACAGGCCACCGGCTCTCCCTGTACCAGCGAGCACTGAGAATACGAGACTCGTCAAGCAACAAGAAGTTCAGGAGCCTCTTTCAGGAGCTGCCAGTCATGATTGTGGAAGATGTTACACATGTAAGTAAAAGGGTTTGGTATTGCTTCCTGAGAACCCACAGACTCTTGCCTCTGAAGAGGCTGGTAATCCTGGAACCCAGCGTATGTGTATCTGACCCATTATATTATTGTGTATAGGGATTTTTATAAACAAAAATAAAATAAAAACTTTCCCTATAACGGAGGCCCAGGTCCTCAAATAATATAATAAGCAACACTTCATTTAGTTCAAAGAGGCAATCTTGGTTTATACCAGCTACAGATTTGACCACATATAAAAACTCCAGCTGTTAGTAAAGCTGTGTTTCCTTCCAAGCTCTTCTTTTGACTTACTACATGACTTTTGGGAAAGTCATTTATATTTACCATGCCTCTGTTTCTTATGTGTAATTGAGGGTAGTAGTTACCAGCGCTGGTGCGGTGAAGATTCATGAGTATGCAGGACTGACAGGAGTAAGTTTGTGTGTCTCTGTAGTTAGGGCCTCACAGATCAGTATGGATTTTTGCAATTCATTCTCTGCTACCTTATGTACTGATTTGCACCTCTGGCTTCAAAGGCCCTTCTCTCCAGTCAGCATGGTAACACTTCACACCCCCTCTGCACAGACTGAAATCACTGCACATTGGACTCCAGTAAGACTCGGGGTGTGTTACTACTTGATGTTTGCAAATTGTTTTTGTCAAAGTGATGAGAAAGTATTTACACGTTCAGAGTTAAAGGGACATTTTGGTGCAGCTTGTAAATATTATGGGTGAAATCCTGAAGCCAGTAGAAGTTTTGCCATTGCTCTCAGTAGAGCCAGGGTTTCATCCTGTCTTCTTACTCCTTATTAATACTAAGCATAGGAACATTCCTTATATCTTTTCCTGCCCAGAAACTGTGACAGTGTAGTTCCTTCCTGAATAATTTCCCAATTCATTGTCCAGGATTTGTTGTCTAAAATTTGACCCAGTAGTAGAATGCTGGCAAGGGAATGTCAGAATAAGCTCTGAACACTTCAATGTTTAGATGACCAAACAAATTACCTAGGTTTCAAAAAAAAAAAGAAGCATTCCTTCTAAGATTTTGAGATATGTAGAATAGGTTTTCATTTGTAATCCTAGGTGTTAATTAGCTGTTTCTCCTGTATCCAGGTTACAATCAAAGGAAAAATGTATCCCCAAACTGGGTTGGGAAAATCTGTGTTTCTAATGGAGGACGTTGATGATGAAGAGAAAGGCGAGGACTCTGCTGTGTCCACAGTCATATGCTCTGTTGAGGAGCTGGCATTAACCCATTACAAGCAGAATGGCTTTGATCAGGGTAATAGTACCAAGACAGTAATTTTAAGGGATAAAGTGTCAACCTATTAAGAGACATTTAGTCCTTAAGCCCAGTTTTAGCAGGCCAACTGGTTGAAATTCAAACTGTTTAAATTGATTATTTCGTTTCTAAAAGTAGCTGAAAACATGTTAGTCTTTCTTTTGACTTTTACTTTCTTTCATCCTCTGCATCCCAGTTACAATTTTGAAATGGCAAATGTTTCTTTATCCACGTGTTTCTCTAGGAAATCTCTCCTCTTGCTTTTTGGGTTATTAGGCTTTTACTGAGAGAGAATTTTCTTCACATAGTTGTTTTTGGACTCAGAAAGCCATTTAAATGTAAGAAGCTGAGTGCCAGTAAGCACAAATAGTACAGAGGGAAATCTTTTGAAGGGGAAATGTTCTAGAGAGGGTTGATTCCCATTTTTATTTTCTAGACTAGATTAGCATGTAATAGATTGTGCAGGGGAGAGGGCCTGATGCCAGCAATGTTTTCTGTTGATATCCTTTCAGAAATGTATATCTTTGCAGGTTTGTGAAGATTAAGAGTTATTTTCTGATTATGACTGTTTGTTAAAAGAAAAAAAATAAAATTAAAAATCTGTGTGTAGCAGAACCAAAGAGGGAGGCATTAAAAATACCATGTCTTGAGGAAAACAGTGGAGCCAAAAACTGCAACCAAGATGCAGACATTTTAATGAGAAACTCTGAAAAGTTTGGACCTGTGAGGAAGTTATGAAAGGGAGGGTCCCTTTTGTACAGGTTCCGGTAAATTGTGCTGCAGTCAAGAAATTGCTTCCTTTCAAAATGAGTCCCTCAGTGAAGTAACCAGTGCCTACTGTACCTTGTTTAGGGTATTAGGTCTGACTTTGAAATGGCCATTAATAAAGCTAAGTCATCAAGAGCCTTGTCCTGACTCAGGTGTGATCAGTGCCATATGCCACACGTTTTGCAGTGTTGTATTTCGTGCATGTTGACTATATGTGTAATGCTGACATGGTGTGTTGCTGCTGCTGACCAGTTGCTGCTGTGACTGCTTAGTTTAAAATGTACTTTATCTTTGTTCTTGTAGCTAGAAAATTGACTGTTGGCTCTGTCCCTCAGGAATTCATGGGGAAGGATCAACTTTTAGTACGCTCTATGGCCTTCTAATGTGGGACATCATTTTCATGGGTGGCATACCAGATGTCTTCAGGAATTCCTATCAGGTATTTATGAAGGGTATTTTTTCTTTGCCTCTGCTTCAAATAATCATGATAAACATCTGATACAGTCTGTTCTGGATCTGCAGTATTTTATCTGAGGGGATCTAAACAAACTTTGTTGTTCTTAGCTCGCCGTATTGTTTCTCTATTGGGGTTCTACTTGCAAATGCTTGTATGTTCTTATCTGAACTTCTCCACATAAAACATTGACAGAAGTATTCTGAGTGTTATTTAAGGTAGAGGTTTGTTTCCCTTCTAAGGTGTGTAAGTATCTTACCAGGTTTTAGGCATCTAAATCAATCTGTTGTTACTAGATTAGCCCATCACCTTGGGGCGTGCTCATTTATTAGGGATAAGTTTCTAGGGTCTTTGTAATTCTATCAATGTGCTGCTTGTGTTATTTGTGTTTTTATATGGAGCTGTATCTCTCCCTTCTGCAAGTCCTCACCCCCCAGTGGAGCTATCTTGCAGGACTCGGTTTCAATTTGGCTGGGTTCCTCCAGTCACCAAATCAGTCATACACACAAACGCACACAGATTACTGTGACACACCTGACCTGGCCGGGTTGATCAGCATGGACAGGCTGACACCCTCATATGCCAACAATAATCTGCAGTCAGACACAAGCACACAGGTAAACAGAATACCTCTGAATCCAGCTGGGTGTCCAGCTGGCACCCTCATGGGCCAACATTCAGTTCATTAGGGCACATCTGAGCCAAACTGGGTCAGTCAGCCTATACAGGCTGATCCCCTTATGTGTTTCAAACTCAGCATGTCCCAATCTTTAGCCTCTTGATGCACAGACCCCACAGTATTTTTGGGCTTCACAGGGATCTTTAGGTAAATGAAATGTTGCTGCAGAGCAAGTGGGGAAGGAGAAGTAGAGAAGGAGAAATATACCCAGTTACCACCAGTTTGACTATAAAAGTTATTTATTGCTAAGTATATGAAATATATAATGGTACTAGTAGTAATAGACATGCAAACGAAAAACAAACACAAACAATTACAGTATACCCTGGTTTCACTAAGTATTTGGGGAACCTTATCTCAAGCTTAACTCATACAGTTCTGGTTCAGTAATTTATGCCTAGAGAGAAAAGAGAAAAGAGAGAGAGAGCTGGGATCTCACCAGTCCAAGGCACTCAGGTTGCAAATGCTGACAGGCAAAGTAAAGTTCTTAGCACAATCCTTGAAGGGAGATGATCTGTTTCTTCCAGCCTCTTAAGAAGAACAGCGGTGATGTGAGAGAAACTTCTACTCTTGAAGCACACACACTGCTGCTTTTTTTTTACAGATTTTTATACCTTCAGTTCAGCTTCTTTAAAGCATTCTTAATAGTGTAAATAATTGTCTTTTCTATTGACAAGGGGTTATCTGGTTTGGAACATCTCAAGAAACTGATTGATAAT